TCATACTACTGATTTACTGGTAGTCACGAAAACAATACTTAATTCGAAAAATAAAGTAAATTCTCAATGTAAGATGTATATACCCAATTTCCTTTAAGGATAAAAACAACTTTTGGGAAAGCAAGGCTATGTGAAATTGAATGGAAACATCAACTCAACTCATAAGATTGTGGGAAAATTCTTCTTCTACCAGTCCGTCATGACCTTACACGAAATTAGGTGAATGCATCTCATACTACTGATAAAAGATTGCCCTATCAATCCTTAGACAACCTTATGCGACCGAGGATGGTTAAGTTTTTATTTAAGAATTATTGACACTCTGGAAAACTACAAAATGGAAAATAAGTAATATCGTTGATTACAATGGCGGACAAGGGATACGTGCAATTCTTCTGATCGACAATTCAACGATCACCCATTAAATCAACTTATCCGACTTTGACTGAATAAACTCTTATTCAACAATTAATAATAGTCTCAAAAATTATATTATTGCCAGGAAGCTGAATTCAGGGCCTAATGCAAGAGTCAGAATTCCCGTTTTGCCCCAAAGTGCCACTTCAGGGCTATTCTTTTTACGATTTTTTTCAGATATTTAACCGAAAGCCAATATTGTAAAGTCTTGCTGATGACCGTTTTTATCATTTTCCCCTTATTCCTGCGTAATAATAGTATTACTTAAATAAATCCTGTTTCAACAGCATAAATATGCCAAAGCGAAATGGGAGATCTTTTGCAACATTAGTTGTTTTTCGAAACTCCCAGTAGATCTTCGTTTCATGTTATGAAGGACTGGTGGTAATATTTTTCCATAAAGATGGAAGTAGACTTCACTTTTCCTGTAAACCTCGAATAGTTTTGCAGTCCTGCGAAGTGGTCAACGCATGGGGACTATCGCTAAACAAGCGAATTTCGAGTACGACTCCCGAGGTCGAAACTGCCGCCCAACCCGGCAGGGATAAGAATACATTTTGGCAAGCAGGAATGTGTAAAGTTTAGTGAAAAAATGTAGCCTACTCATTTGATTGTGCAAAAATGCAACTATCAGTCCTTCATCCCCTTAATCTCATACGCCATGATCGTATTGTGAAGACGAGGTAAGCTCATTTTTTGTAGTGATGGTAGAATCCCGCTAGACGAGCAAGCACTGACTTCTGCTGTACAGTTTCGATAATATGCGCAAAGTGTGCGCTGTCTCGCCTGAAGGGTACATTTTCACGTTTGACCAACGAAAGCCCTCTTCGTAGCTCATTTTCTGCGGTCCGATTACGCATCATTTGAATTGAATCTACCGAATTTAAATCAACCTACTTTTAGCAGCATTTCAGTAGTACATTGGTTTAACGCAAATTTGGATCGCATTTCTCATCTCAAAAAGTGCGGATGTTCAATCTCGTTTGAGCCTCCTCCCAGAAGGAGTGGAAGCTGCAGGTACAGCTTGAAGCCGGGTCAGGTCAATTGCGAGCTTCGAGATGGCTCTCAAAGAAGAGCTGAGTCCAACGGTCGGAGCGTCAGAAAGGCTCGAGTCTGCGGTGCGTCGACATCAACAACTCATCACGATCCAACTGGCCGGGACAAAAAAGGCGACTGGAGCGCCGTGTTTAATGAACTCGTATGACCTTTTCAGG